GGGCCTGGAGGGAGCCGGCAGCCCCAGGCCCAGCCTCCTCTGCCCAAGAGCAGTCTGTGGGCCTCTGAGGCCCTGAGCCCCTGCAGGACCCCCCCTCCCTATGGGTGTCTCGGGGGAAGCCCTGAGCCCCTGCAGGACTCCCACTCCCTATGGGTGTCTCCGGGGAAGCCCTGGCCTCGGGGGCTCCCACCTCGGTGTCTCCGGGGAAGCCCTGGCCTCGGGGGCACCACTTCTGCGCCTCAGACATTGGAGGGCTCCTCGGCCCTGACACCTCTGGGGACCTCGGCCTGGACCCCGGCAGAGCCTTTGGCCCCACACTTGCGGACGTGGGTCCCGTGGGTCCCGCTGGCCCTTTGCTGAGGGGCAGACACGCTCCCCAGGCCCGCCCACTGCAGCCCCCCAGAGGAAGGCAGACCTGAGCGTGGGCAGGTGTCCTCAGGGAACCAAAGCCTGAGGAGCCCGCGGCCACCCACCCTTCAGTCCATGGTAATGTGTCTGCCAGGGAGTGCCTGGCACACCCGTCGCGAGCCCAGCGGCACGGAGGCGGCCAGGGCCTCTGCCCAGACGTGCCCTCCTCCCCGGGAAATGGGTGCCCAGCAGGAGGCGGGCGCCCCCCTGGCAGGCGAGGCCAGGTCTTCGGAGTCAGGGGGGAGACCCCCCTCGGGACCTTCCTCTCCACACCTGTCCTGACGAGTCGGTGCTCATCCTTCCCGATAAACCCCGTATTCCAAGCTCCAGGCCTCGTTCGGAAAGGCTGGCTGAGTGAACGGCAGATGGGTCCTCACAGCCCAGCCCTGGGAGCTCCAGCGGGGTCAGGGGACTCAGCCGGCTGAGCCACCTCTTCCGTGCAGCCTTCCATGATCACTCTGCAGCCCCCTGGCCCTACCCACGCCCACGCGAGCACCCAGCAAGGGGGCGGGCCACCTCAGCTGGACTGGGCAGGTCGAAGGTCAGCCTTAGCTTCCCCGGACCAAACACCATGATGAGGCGAGTGACCTAGGGGAGGTGTCTGTGTGTCACAGGCTGACCACACAGGTGGACTTTGGCAGGGAGAGTGTGTTGACAAGTGAAAGGAAAGCAAAAGAAGGGCAGCCAGGCCTCTGTCACAGACAGAAGAGGGCGGCCCAGCTGATGTGGCTCAAGGGCTAGAGCGTCGGCCTGTGGACTGAAGGGTCCCCCTGTTCAATTCCAGTCAAGGGCACAGGTCCAGGTTGTGGGCTTGATCCCCAGTGGGGGGCGAGCAGGAGGCAGCCGAACAATGACTCTCATCATTGATGTTTCTATCTCCCTCTCCCTTCCTCTCTGAAATCAGGAAGCTTAAAAAAAAAAAAAAAAGAGGGTGAACTCCAGAGACCTTGCTGCCCGGCCTGGCCACCTTTGCTGTCGGGCATTTGCCTGCCGCCTCCAGGCCCTGCCCGCCTCCCCGCCCCCAACCTGGTTGGTTTCCATGACACCACAGACCCTGAATCCTAACGACTGTATTACGTGGACTCGGTCTCAAACATCGTTATCTACTTGCGCCTCTCCTGGCAAACGCCCTGCGGTCACGAGACGTGCTGTTTGTGTGCCGGCCCCTCCCCCCCTGGCGTCCCTGTGACCTGGTGTCCCCGTGGGCGTGACCTGGGGTGTCCCTGTGGGTGTGACCTGGGGAAGGTGGCCCGGGAGGCGTCTGCCCGTTGAAGCAGGGCTCCTGCAGGGCAGGCCTGGCCAGGCTGCCCTTCCTGCTGCTCAAAGCCGGGCCCCTCTGAACCTGCCCCGAGGCCCTGACACCCGCCCTCAGCCAGACACCCCCGGCCACTCTTCCGACTCTCCCCGGGCCCCCCTGCTGGTGGGAGCCCCGCACGACTTCAGAGTCTGGTAGACAGACACCCCGACACACCCCTCTGCCCCTAAACCGAAACCACCTTGGGCAGGTGCCACAGCCGCTCACAGCCCCTGTCGCCAGCTCAGCCAGCGCCGGGCATTCGGCCCAAACCACAGTGCCACCCAATGTGTCCGAACCGCCCGCCCGCACACGGACGG